ATACAAAGAAATAGCCTCTTAATTTACAGACAAGAGCGGCAAACAGGAAGTTAAACCCAAGAGCACTGCTTCAAGAGGCAATTTCTCCTTGGTCCTTTGACTGGGGCATTTTGCCAGCTGTCACTACTAGACCAACTGAAAGTGCCACACCCAAATTGTTGTTCTCATTAGAACCAAAACAATTTAACATGAATGCCTGGAGGTACTAGCATGTCACACTGTGTTGTTTAGTCTTACAAGAGAAGAATGTCTGTCATTCCCATTAAATAATATTTAAGCATTTGCATTCATGGTCTACAAACTGCTTCTGATGCTCCTTTATATAACTAAGATCTAAACACTATGACTCTCTTACTTGATGGACTCCATTTATGGTGCAGCCTCTTTAAAAGGAGGATATAGTCCAAGTGAAATATGAGTAAGAAATAGTTTTCTATACTTTATATAAGAAAGGCAATCTAAGGTTCTTCTGAAACCATGGGAAACGATGTCCTTCAGCCAGACCCCTGTGCCTGTGTCACAGTTAAGAATGTGAGGTTCCTCAATTTCCTTACACATACTCTTCCTTCATATATAATCATTTCCGTAGAGGGGGAAGGTATTCAGGGGCCTCAGAAAATAATGGTCTAACCTCTTCTGTTTGGCTGCCTGGCTCCCACCATTCTCTATCAGCTTCTACATAGAGGATCTTCTGCAAACATGCCTGATTTATACATAGTTTTACGTAAGGCACCAAGAGAGACCCCAAGGCAAAATTCTATCCACAGAATGAGCCAACTTATTCTCTCATGTGAAGGTCAAGCTTTATAGAGGCCAGGCCCCAAACACCAGCTGGATCTCCCAGGCCCCGCTACTGCTAAGGCAAGGGCTCTGCTAAACAGAGCTTTGATGTATAAGTTTTTTTGTTCGTTATTCTGGAGTCTCTCCAAAGCAAAACTTTTCTAAAATAAAGGTTCTCCTGAGTTCACAAGTCAATGTGAGCTGTCAGGAGGCAAAAACGATCTAAACCTAGACTGCAGTGGATGGCAGCCCAAATAAAGATTTATTACAAACCTTAAGATGGGTGAAATATAAATTATACCTCAGTAAAGCTACTAAAAATAAGTCTGAAATGAGTCAGACAGGTAAGCTGTCTATAAATATCTGATATTGAAACTACAAAGATACTTTTGACTATTCATGCTCAAGTAAGCCCAGGCCTTGTGTTCTTTAGTCACACTTCACCTAAAATGTCCAAAGTTCTCCCTGTAATGTTGATAAAAATAACTTAAGAGACTAATGTAAATATCTGTAAAAAAAAAAAAAAAAGTTACCAGTACAGCAACAAGAGAAACTCTAGTATGATTACCTATGTGTGTGATTTACATACATATCTGCTCAATTAACCATAGTTTTAGTCAAGGCTCATCATTAATTAAACACTGGGTTCTGAGAAGATATCTCAAAGATTCTTTTCCTACCTATACCATGTAACTCTGTCCACTAGAGTTAAATAGCAAGAAAAATTAACAGGTTTAAGAGTCTGGCTCAGTAGTGTAGCTTAGTGGTGAAGTGTTTGCAGAGTATCGAGGAGGCAAAAAGATAAAAGATAGCAACTACAACTTAACACACAACTCACTAAAAATCAAACAGATTACAAAAACCATCACCCTGTGAGAAAGCCTTTTCTGGGATTGTGTATGTGTGTGCATGTGTGTGTGCATGTGTGCATGCATGTGTGTGTGTTTGTTTTCAGATGAGGAAATGGAACACACTTGGTTCTTTAGTTCAACAAAGGTCACACATTATCAGTAGCAGATCCAGATTCCAGTCCAGAGGCATTCTGCTCTAAATGCTCATTCTTGACTCCTCATCAAGAATGGACTTCCGGTTCCCTCAGATGCCAACATGAATCCTCACCTTGACTTTAGTACATTAACTATTTTCTTCCTCATCTATAAAAGTAGATCACTTGGAGTTAATTCTCCGAGTTGTTATGAAAATTAGAGAGTACATTTCTTAGATTAAGAAACTATTCAATAAATACCTCATCCTTCTCCCAAGATACCCCTTCCCGTGACTAAAACAAAAGCAAACAAACTATAAATGTTATTATTTCCTTACACCCTACCTGGACCAACCCGTCAGGAACCATGTTCTATCAAAAGCACTGAGAGTGAACACAAACAACACAGCATAACTTTTTTGCTATCAGCCTTTGGCTCTGTTAGTGAGACTGTCAACAAGAGTGTCAACTTCAAGGGGTGGGCATCTGTCCACAGGAACTGAGCTGAGGTCACAGACTTGTCTAGCTCTGTCCTGCAAACAGATGTCTTTGTGACAATTCTTAGTCACTGTAGACCACAGCTAGAGCCAACCCAGGTGGGAAGTGCTGTATCCTCTTCTAATCCTTGGCTGGCCTACTCATTCCCTAAGACAATATCTCACTGACAATATTTCAAAATCCTTCTCTCCAGGATATAACATCTTTATTTTTAGAATGCCTGATTATTATCCAAGCAGAAGGGAGTGTTTCCAGAACAGTGATTATTTGGTTCCATGCACTGGAAGGTGCGTACACCTTTCAAGAGTTGCTGCTCAAGAAGCCAGGTAAAAACTGATGTGATGTGGGGCTCTAGTGGTGACGAGGAGGTAAAGCAGCTGTTACATAGAGCCAACCAAAAAAAAGAAAGAAAAACGCCAAGGAAATCCCATTTACATTGTCATGTTATACTGAAAAACACTCCAGTGTTCCAGTGTTATCTTCCGAGATAACATAAGTCCAACTTTAAATATGGTAGCTTTCTTCCAGATCAAGTGATAATTAAGTTACATTAAACATCATGAGCAGTGACATCTTCACAGAAAATAGAATTCAGAGCAGTAGAGGTTACTTTTCAACTTTTTACCCAATTCAATAAGAATCCAATGAATGAAATACTGCTTTAAATACAGTTAACAAAACATTACATACCAAAAGTACTGGACTCTGAAGGGTATGGTCAGTGACTCTCAGTACCAGGTGTCTTAGAATTTAAATAGTCCCAAACGTGTTGAGGTGATTATGTGTTTAATCCTCTGCTGGAAATGTAACGTCCTTAAATATCTGACTTCTGAGGTCTGTCCCAACTCAAAACAACTAAGAACAAAAGCTACATGTTCAAATGCTAACTCCTTCTTTGATCTCCTAACAAAAGAGGTAACTTAAATTGTCAAATATTCACATATAACATATAAAATTTCCCCTGTGTATTGTGGGGTTAGACCTAGGGTCTCACACATGCTAGGCTAGTGTTCTAAAACTGAGCTACACCAAGATCTCCAAACATCTTTCTTTAACCTACTGATGTTAAGGCTGTCTTACAAGTTGTAGCCCTGGCATGCACTGAACTCATACTCCTCCTGCCTCAACCTTCTGCATAACTGGAATAAGAGGTCTTTACCATCAATCCAAAGCAGTGTCTTCCTAATCGAAAGGCTTTATTTGAAAAAAGTATGGTTGCAGTATGGTGAACAATGTAATCGGATATATAATTGCTGTGCTTAGGGTCAATGAGATGGCTCAGTGGGGAAAGGCCCTTGTCACCAAGCCCGATGACCTGGCTTTGATCCTTGGGATCCACTTGGTGGCATTACAAAGCTAAGTCCTGCAGGTTGCCCTCTGACTTCCACACAAGTGCCACTGCACACACATGGCCATAGGCGTGTGCATGCGGGCATGGACACACACACTAAATGTAATTTTTAAAAAGTTTCCTTTAAATGTGTATGCTCTACAACCTGGTGTCCATATTTTAAGCTGATGTGTAAAAGATGGCAGCTGTGTTGACCATATCAAAAATAAATCAGGATATTAAGAAAATACAAGAACTAGCCTTTCCATATACAGTCATGTACTACTTAACAGGGAGAATTGTGTTGTTAGACAATTTCATACACTGCACTTCATAAACTGAAATGACTATAATATCAATAAATGATGTAATCTTATAAGACCTCTATCCTACACAGCACAGTGTGATCTGACCAAATGGAACTATGCAACACCTAACTACATAAATAAGTATCATGTTCTTGAACATGAAATAAAATGTAAAAGAATCACTTTGCATGTCTGATAAAAGAAACTAAATGTTTATAAATGCATTACAGTGTTTATCTGAAAAAGCATTAACACTCATGGGGTTTGATGACCATCATCCAAGATCTTTTAAATTGTTAAATCTACAGATAAAAACTGAGTCTCAGAGATCTGTGAAAGGAGTTACAATTACCCTGGCTGGATGGGGTGTGGGGGTGCTACTCATTGATGTCTCTCTTCCCCATTCTCTTAGCTAATGCCATTAACATGGTTCCCTAAAACTGCCCACAAATACAGTAAATAGATAAGAGCCCATCCTGAGAGGTCATTGAGAATGCAATAGTTTGGAATGGGAGTTCAAGATAAAGAACAGCCTTCATGTGGTCTTCTGCTGTGAGACAGGAGAGAGAGTCTCTTTGATAGGACAGAATACAAGCCAGTGAGGGAGCAGAGGTGATTTACACATGGAGTCATACGCCAGAGGCAGGCAACAAACCTGCACTGTCGGAGCATTAGACACCAGGGAATTCAGACCCTAAGAGTTCAACAGTCATTTTCACACACATGGTGCACACACAAAAAACTGACATTATTTAATAAGATCATGGAAGACTTTGGATCTGTGACTCTAAGAACTCTATCTTTGTATATCATCTTGCCCATATTATCCATGGTGACCATCTCTAGCTTCCTCACTTTCCCATAGCAGACCTTAGGATCCTGCATAAAATAATACTTAGCATTTTTTTTTGCCATCTTTTGGACTGAGGCATGTTGGTTTTATTAAAGCAGGCTGGGCCTGCATTCTTTCTTTACTATTATTACAGGTAGACTTGACAGCACAAGACCGTGTGTGTGTGTGTGTGTGTGTGTGTGTGTGTGTGTGTGTGTGTGTGTGTTCTGCTGTGGAGGAAGCATTGCTAAATGAGGTCTATTTTACCTGCTGGGCAGTTGCACTCTGAAGATGCCTCTCTTGCGATTCTTATTTTAGCCATATGTTCATAGGATTTCTGTAGGAAAAAGCAGAGGTATATTAACACAATCATCAGTAGCACTGAAGAGAAATGGACTCTCAGGGACTCTCTGGCTACATGCCTGCTTTACCAGCATTCGATAGCTTGTATAAGGAATATTTACATAGGTACTTGGACTCTAGTCAAAAAGTAACAGAATCCAAGTCCTAAAATAAGACAATGACCACTGACGTGGTAGCAGGATTGCAGGGTTTGGCTAATACCTTTCTCAGGTCTTCAATTCCCACCACCCTCTCCTCCAGCCCAAGCATAGACAGTCAGTGCAAAAGCCTGGCAGTGATACACTGCAGGTCTGAAAACATGGTGGCCAATAGTATGCATGGGAATATCAACTGCTAAACAGCCTCTCTATTGGAAGTAAAGCCCCTAACTTGAGTTGAAACCAACCTTGATTGAAGATGATGTGATTCCTTTCAACTCTCAACTTCAATGGCTCTACATTCATCAATACCTGCACAGCATCCTTTGCCAAATATCAAACTTTTTTTGACGTATTTGAACATGAAAAGATTCGAAGGGTGAAACTTATGACTTTGAATCTATATAGAATTGTTTTTTTTAATGATTACCTTTGGTATATTAATAACACTTATTTTTCTAACCTTTACCTGGGAAAGAGATAGGAGATCTTATGTCTATAATGAATATTCTCCGTAGAACTGAGAGATCACAAGAGACTCCAGAAAACTAAAAAAAATGAAGTGTTCCTCCCCACACTCCCACTATCCAGAACTCCCTTCCCTCTTTTAGACATTCATATATGGTTAGCATGCAAGCACTATGGAAGAGTAAGGGAGGATTTCAGCTACAGACTCGGTATCAGTCAATACCCAAGGTACTTAACACACACACCATACTCGGCACCCACAGTCAAGCCGACTCTGTAGACAGTAAGGGTTGAAACTAGCCCTGCATACAGGACTCACACCTGTGCAAAATACTACCCACGTGCAAAATACCCCAGCCTTTCACACCTGTGCCAAGAGACGCTCCACTTTCTCCTGAACCATAGCCTTCAGCTCATCGAGGGTGTCAGGCAGCGGACGAAAGGAAGGGGTTCCTTTAGCAGATTCAAGAGCAGCAATCCTCGCTTGGAGGTCGTTGGTTTTCACCCCAAGATACAAGCAAGAAACCACAGCCACCACTGACAGGAGGGTCGCCAGGGCCGCGCACGAGGCCATGGTGCCGGCACAACGCTGTCCCAAGGGGCGCGGATCTTCTGATCCAGGCTCTCGTCCCCCTCCTTTCCCTGCAAGCTTCTTCACCAACATCGTGGCGGGGTCGCCGGCCTCCCTTACGCCTTCAGCCCCTCTACCTCCTCCAATTATCTTAAAAGGAGAGGAAGGGCCGGTGCCTCCAAAGTTCAGTCCCCGCGGCTGCACAACTAGTTGGTGGAGTCGGAGCCCCCCCCCCCCCCCCCCCCCGCTCGGAGGTGGACCTGAGCTTGGCTCGGCGTCCGGATCAGCAGCAGGCGTGGACCATCCTCCTGATTCTTTCTCCCCTTCCAGCTGAGAGTGAAAAGCCCCCTCTGGCCGGGGGCTGTGTGGCGCCGGGGGGGTCACAGCTGAAATCAAGCCCACCAGGGCAGCTTTTCTGACCCCTCAAGATCCGACACCTCCTTAGTGGTCCCCCCCCCGCGCGGAGGCGCAGGGTCCGCCGGCCCCTCTCCCTGCTCCGACCTGTTGCGTCTGTCTGCCTAGCTCTACCTATTCCGGGGCTTTTCACACGCCGACCTGTCTCCCACCTGGATCCGTTCAAGGCCAACAGGAAAAAGAAATGCAGAGAGACGCGGCGAGAGCGCGGCCCCCGAGGGGTGGCCAGAGGGATAGAGGAGAGGGGAGAACCCAATGACCCAAGCAGCAATCGCGAGCCGCGAGGCCCCAGAAGTAGCTCCGCAGCCGCCCGTGTGCGAGCCTTAAATACCCCGGGATGCTCGCGTGTGAGACCGTGCGCGCGCGCCTCCAGCACGGCCCGCCCCCTCCCGCAGGAGCCTCCTTATTAGCATAATGTATTCACCTTCGCCCAGCCCGCCCGGACCCACGAGAGGGCGGGAGCGCGGGTGGGAGCGGAGCGGGAGGTCCCTATTAGCATAATATATGCAAATAGCTTCAGCAGCCGCCGTGATTGGAGAGGAGCTTGGAGACCCTTCCCCGCCCGCCACAGTGTAACTTCAGCGTCCCCTAAGGCCACCTCTCCGGCCTCAGCCAGAGGCCGAATCGAGGTCTGCTGCGCCGAGTGACTTACACCGGCTTAGCCCAGCGCCCCCTCTTTATTTGGGTTTAAAAATGGAGGAATGGCCTCCAGAAGGGAAGAACGGGAGCAGAACGCTCCAGCCCTCCAGATCCTCACTCAGAAGCAGCCGCAGGAGCTCCTCCACCTAGCCTTCGTGCGATGTTTTCCCTCCTCCCTCAGTTCTTTCCCACATGCCCAGAGGCAAAGTGTCTGGCTGACGTCTGCAGGGTACCTTCCCCACTTCCCTTCCTTCCCACGCCTTGCAGCAGATTCTCCAAGCGACAGGGGAAGTTTTCTCGCCCCTCCCCCGTTTCCTCTTGTCTTGATGCTGTTTCCCCGCAGCTCTGGGTTCCTACTCTGTACTAGGGTGCTAATGTGTTTTCCTGATTCCCTGTTTTGTGGGATTGAAAGGGGGAGTGCTTGAGGCACACATTTCTCGGGATTTAAGAAAGAGCTAAAGAATGAAGTCAATTTTTCCTCTTCCTTGACTCTCAGCTTGGTATTCCTTCTGGATCAAATTACAAAGTCTCTAATGGGATTTTTTTCCCCCTAAATTGATAACAAGTAGCACTTTTGCATCCAATTGACTTTGGCGAAACAATAACTTGAACTCTTCCTCCAAAAGACCTTCCTTATTGCCTTAAGAAACTATTCGTGGTTTTCTTACCCTCCTTAATGTAACCACGCTAACCTCAAGTAGTTGCTCACTACTGTAATCAATGAACAAAATGCTGCACTGAGCAGCTCCTTCTCATGTGTGCCAAGAGAGACCCAGGATAAAGAGAGAGGACAGAGAAGAAAGACTGTTCTAGACATGACAGGGAGGCTGCACCTATAAAATCTCAACAAGTGGTCGCCTAAACAAGACCTCAAGACCTGAACAACAATACCAGTCAACATGCCAACCTGGTTGGTGGAGCTTGCACAAGGTCCCATGCCTAGAGGAAGAGCTACCAGCAATAACTGCTGCTGGAGAAGAATTAGTTTTCTTCAGGGACCAGCCTCAAGTGGTCATCTCCAAATACATATACATACATATGAGAAACACTAAATGGACTCAGTAGTGTGTGTGTGTGTGTGTGTGTGTGTGTGTGTGTGCGCGCGCGCGCGTGTATTGGGAATTGATCCAAGCTAAGTCTGCTCTCTACCACTGAGTTATACCTCCAGCCAAAATTTTGAGCATGTCAGTTCTTTCCATAGTCCTATTAACCCCCTTGCTCATTTTTTTTGTTTGGTGGGTGGTGGCAGTGGTGATCCTCTCAATGCTTGATACATTTAGCCAGTCCTCTCAAGGTTTGCTCACTCCTTGAGTCCCTGTATTATGCTATCTTTTTTCCTAACTATACTCTCTCCAGTAAAATTCCTAATTACTGTATTTTAGCTGCAGACCAATAAATGTATACACCAAATCCAAGCCTCCTGATCCTCGGAATCATACAGCCCACCATTTGACAGTCATATCTCACTAGCAGTTACAACATAACCTACATTATTCCTCCAAACTCTGCTCACTCCCCGTTTCCCTTCTGAGTAGGAGCTGCCCTGACTTCTCACCCTCCTTTCAATGCTTCCCTGAATTCCTCCAATGCATCCTGTGATCTTCAGATTGTAGACCTCGATGTCTGAGACATCCCCACCAATACCTGCCATCTCACCAGACTTATTGCTCATGCTATCCCTCTGCATGCCAGTTTCTAGAAATATGCAAAGAGAATAAGGATCTTTCAGTTCAGACAAGCACAAAAACCACTTTCCATTCGGATGCCAACAGTAGAGCACACAGTTCAAGTGCATGATGTCGTGTTCTGTGGAAGCTGGCCGCGAGAGGGTCCTTCAGCATCTCCTGTAAGCTCTTAGAATGATCAGATCTCAGTGGAGAGATGGAGTTGGAATTCTGTGGATTTGAGACCTTTATCCAGAGGATTAGATTTGCTTTATGTCTTTGGTGGGTATGATAGCTCAGAAATGTGCCAGCCGTTAGCACTAAGATTTCAAGACCCAGAAGATTCTCTGCATCAAGCTCAAAGAATGCATGGATCAACAAGGCTCTGTGGTCTGAACTCACTTTGTTCTATAGAGTTGACAGAGCATCATTACTTTGACTTTTACATAGAGAAAGAAACAAGAAAAGGTTAAAATAGCTCTAAAAATTCTATGGTTCTGTGGACTCCAATTTGCCTATGGCTCGCATCAGTAGCAGTAAAAGGCAAACAGCTGGTTGATGATCAGGGCTATGATGGAAAGAATAACACTGTGCACATGAAAACAGAGAGAGAGAGAGAGACAGAGAGACAGAGAGAGAGAGAAACAGAGAGAGAGAGAGAGAGAGAGAGAGAGAGAGAGAGAGAGGCATGCCCCAAGCTCCAAAACCTGTAAGTGGCAAAACATCTGTAAGTGAAGTGAAGGATCTTAAGATGGGAAGATTTTCCATGTAACCACAAGGGTCCTTACAAAACAGGCACAGGATTTCAGAGAAGAGAGATGTCGACCGGAACAGGGGTTCTGGGTGCAAATGCTGTCTCTGAAGATGGAAGAGGAGCTAAAGCCTCTATTCCAGAAGCAGGGAGAAGGAGTAGAGTGGGTTCTCCCCTAGACCATCCAAAGGAAAGCAGCCCTCTGAGCCAACACCTGGAATTGAGAAATTCTGACCACTGGAACGGTAATCACTCTTTGTTCTCTTTTAACGTGCTAAGTTTGTAGTTATATGTTCCGATGCCAAAATAACAATAATCAAAATCACAAGGAAACAGTCTTTCTCTGTACAGACAGCATCAGACGTTGCCCTGGAACCACCCTCAGGCCTAAAAGTCTAACAAGCCATGTAATGCTGAGTCCCTGCACCCCAAGGATTTGTACGTTGTCTGTACGTTGGTGTATTGCCTAGGAAAGAATTGAGAGCATATCTTCTCTCCTGTCATGCAGAATCAGGATGCCCTCTACAGAAACATATTAAGCCGAGAAGGGTGTGTTCTGTTTTCTTGATGCCTCCTCATGGCACAACTCAAAGACAGTCAGCCAGCCAGCTGTGCTGACACTTTCCTCCTTGCTCCTCTCGACAGAGCCGTCTGACCCAGAACTCGTCTCGCTGCGGGAATAATTGATACCAATCTTCAGGTCATCAAGTATGAGGGACCAATGAGACTTCTGACCGACGGGCATGGCAAGAAGATAAAGTGAAAAGGGGAGTGACGGGGCACAAAAGCCACAAAATGGAAGAAACGGTTGAATGGACAGTGAGTCACTTGATAATTTAAAAAGGTGGGATCTGTTCCTAATGCCTCAAGAAACTGATTGGTAGTGGATATAACGTGTAAATGTAAGAAATTTACACATATTCTAAATTTGGATCGTTCATGTGTAATGTGTATTGTGTGTTTAGAAAGATTATTGACATATGAGAGTTGCTTGGATAATCACATTATATTTTTTTCATGTGGGTATTAATTACATTTAAAAAAAAAAAGACTTCGGTTTGGGTTAAAAATACCTTTCAATGTCATTAACTTTTGAGACTAAGTTTCTAGAACCTTGGCTTTAGCCACGGTTCCCAGCAAATTTATCCAACAGGAGCACACATACCCGCAGAGATTTCTGCCTTTCTTTGTACACCCGCACCACCTGTTGTAACCTCTAAGTGTCTTAATAAAGAAAATGATGGAATAAACTGTGCATGGCATCACGTGCCATTTTTAAAAGCTGCATGTGCTCACAGAGTCGTCTCCTAGGAAGGCAGTTTCACAAAGAGAATGGGGAAGCTGGAGAGAGTTAAGAGGACTGGAGCTTACAAGATACTGTCTCTCTCTAGCCAGGCAAATTTCAATAAATCACAAACAAATTATAAATATCTTTCAGAGCAGACGAGCAGAAAAGAAGTATTTGGCTCCGAGTGACAGCTGATAAATTCCCTTTCAGGCAGATCAAGGAACTGATCCCATTTGCACAAGCCCGGTTAAGCAAGGGGCTTACAGCTGTATGAATCCAATAATCTGGACGGCGCATACCCTCTCAGCTCCCTGGCCTCTGCAGCCAGTGTTCAGATTGTTGTTCTGTTATATTTGGAGGGGTAAGTGAATTTTCTTCTCAAAGTTTAAATAACCAAGTGTTAAACCTACCTAATGGATTTTTCTCCAAAATTCACCCTGATTGAAGCAAGGGGACATGTTTTGTCAAACTTACCAGGTCAACCTTTTCGTGTGATGCTGTGCATACAGACATGTTCGTGTCATTGAGGCAGCCCAGAAACCAAGGACATTTCCCAGTTTTGCCACTTAACAGTTGGGAGGCTTGGAATAAATGACTTTGCTTTTTTTTTGTACTTCAGTTTTCTCCACCTATAAAATAAAGATGATAATTAACTAACCATTAGGACATTTTGCTAAGAAAAAATGGGACTGTGTGTAAAGGCATAACACTGCCTGGTAGGTACTAAGTGCAGTAGACACTTCAGTTCTTATTGATGCTACCATTGTTATTACCTTAAGAGTGCCAGTTTCCTCACCATAGATACTGAAAGGCAAGAGCAATACCCACTCTTACACTGAGTTTTCATCCATATACCATGATTTTAGTCTTACTTTAGTTCAAAAGAACAGAGTGGCCTCAGAGCCACCTTCCTCCACTTGTTGGGTTGTTTGAGAAATTCCCTCTGCCAAACAATGCTTTGTGTCTCTTATATCAATGTTTATTTGCTGCACCTAGTCTACAACTTCATATCAATAAAAGCATGCATTATATGTTCTAATATGTCTGGCATCTTTTGCTCGACATGGTTTGGGGATTTATCCATCGTATTATGTAGTATAGCATTTTCGTTTCAATTGTTATTTTTACAGCTTTTCTGTTAACTTTCAGTAAACACTTGGATTATTTCTAATATTTTGCTATGTGATTATTCTGAGTATTCATTCATATACCTTTTTATTGTGTGTATTTTTGAAGTATAAATAATCATTTTGTTTATAAATGAAAAATTCACTATGACTGTCTGCAAAGGTCAAGCTGGGAATTTAGCTCTTTCAGGCAATAAAATATTTTACAGCGCATAGAGAACAACACAGTCTGCTACTGCTCGGGGTCAGAAATTAAGCCAGAGAGCAGGCCGTTCACTTAGCCCTCCAAATATAACAGAACAACGGCAGAGAGAGGGCTCTGCGG